GCTACTGGAGAGGACTCTTTTTTTTTTTTTTTTGAGTGGGGTGGGGAGACGGAGAAACAGATAAGGGATAGCAGGCTAGCTTGCTAGGATATAAACTTATTAAGAAAAACAGGTGCAAGGAAGGAGCCAGGGAGAAAGACAAGCAGGGGCCTGTACAGAGAGACAGAGGACGAGAAGTGAGTAGAGGTCTGGGGTAATGAAGCCCAGCAGTGGGGTATGTGGGCAATATCTAAAGAGGTTTTCAAAGAATGTGTGTTTGCTGCATGATGTGATACTTCTTTTCCTTCTTGTTGCTGCCCAGACTGCAACGAGGAAGCCAAATATCTCCTGTTTCCACAGGCCTGGGGATGAGGCCTGGCTTAGTACAGTGCCACCCTGCAATTCCACAAACCATTTCTAAGTTGCTGCCTCCTGGCTACCACAAAATTCTGAGCAATGTGCAAGTCCAGTAGGACTTTGCCATTCACAAAGCTTATATTAAAAAAAAAAAAAACTTCATTAAATATTTGGTACCATGAGAAAAAGCTATAGCTACATCCCTCATTTTTTACTTTAAGTGGTCTGAGTGAAAATCTACATTAGTTTTCAGTATTTTTCTTGAAGTTGAACATGGTTTTAAAAATTATGACAGTATGGTGAGATCTACAATAAGATAAACTTCAAACTTTCTTTATTCATATTAAATGCAAAAATTTCTTGACCTCCCATGTTCATGGGGACTTGACTGAGTCAGTTCTCCTCATATGTGAGATCTGGCTATTCCAAAAAAATTGATATGTCAGACCGGAATTTTACATAGTGCTCTTGCCTTCTTAATCTTGGTTTATTGCCTCTCTGACTACTAACTGCCTCATTTCTAAAACATCAACTATCACTGTCTCGTTTAACCTCAGCCCAGATCTGCATTGTCTCTCTCCGTTTCATCCACCCAGTGGTTCAAATCCCCATCCTCCCACTGCAAAGCCTCAGCTTTTCTTGTTAAAAAACAAAAAACAAAAAACAGATGTGTATAAATTATTTGTGACTGCTGTCATCAAAAGGTGGAATTTATTTCTCAGCCTCTTGATCTGCCCTGCCTTTGCAATACTTTGACTAGTAGCAGGAAGGGAAAATGGTATCAAAAGGGTTTTAAGGCCAGGCCTCAAGAGACCTTGCTCCTTCTACTCTGCTGCTGTTTTTTTTTTTTTTTTTCCAATCTTGACATTCTCCACATTCTAGACCAGATAACTCTTTGCTATTGGGGCCTGTCCTGGACATTGCAGGATGTTTATTAGTGTCCTACAACTGGAGGCCACTAGTAAGTGTCCTCTACCCTGCCAATTGTGTCAAACAAAAATATCCCAAGAAATGGGGCATAGTTACCCAGGTAAGAAACACTGCTCTAGTGGAAAACTTCTGCCATGAGAACGAGGCTGGGCTGGATTAACGGAAGAGGAGACCCTGTGGGCAGAGATGAGCAGTCCCAGCTGAGGTCTCCCAGTCTGGCCAACCTCAATGATCAGTCTTCAGTGTTAGTGGAGACACCTGCACATCCTTCAGATCAGCAGGACTAGCTGTGTACGATCTGAGGTTGGATTACATTTCATTTGTTTCATATAGTAATGCAATTGTTTCAGCACCATTTACTTTTTCCTAGGTGACTGATTGTACATACATATTAATTTGGTCTGTTTCTGGGTTCTATGTATTATTCTCTTGGACCACTTGTCTGTTTATTGTAAGCCTTGCTACATGGTAGTTTATGTGTTCTCCCTGCCACCACACCTTCTCCCTTTTTTTTCCCCAATGGTGTCTTCACCATTCTTGATTCTTTACATTTCCCATACAATTTAGGATCAACTTGTTACATTATACCAAAAACTTTTTGGAATTTTGATTGGTATTGCACAGAAACTCCAAATCAGTCTTAGAACTGATAGCCTCATAAGATGAAATACTATGATGTAGGAACATGCTTTTCTCCCATTTAGTTTGGTCTTTAATTTCTCTCCATTATATTTTATATTTTGTATGTCATTCTTCATGCGTTTATTAGATTTAGTCTTAGGTGAAATTTTGATGCTGTTGTAAATGGCATCATTAAAAAGTTTATATTTTCAGCATTTTGCTGCTGGCATGTATGAAGGCAACTGATTTTGGTATTGTACTCTGCTAAATTCACTTATGAATCTTAACATTTTAACTTTAGGTTCTTTTGAATTGTTTTACATATATAATTATAGCATGTGTAAACAATCCTTAGAATTTACATTTTTTTTTTCATGGCCTAACTTCACTAATTTGGAACTTGGTACAGTTTTTAAAATTTTTTTTTATTTGTTCTAATTAATTATACTGTAAATGGAGTATAACTTCTTATGGTTCTGGTTGTACATGATGTAGAGTTACACTGGTTGTGTAATCACATATGCATATAGGGTAATAATGTCTGCTTCATTTCTACCCTCATACCCCTTCCCCACCCTTCATTCCTTTCTGTCTAATCCAAAGTACCTCTATTCTTCCCTAACACCCTCCCTCCCACCTCCCACGTTCATTGTGAATTATCAGAGAAAAGCATTCAGCCTTTGGTTCTTTGGGATAGGCTTATTTTGCTTAGCATGGTATTCTATAGATTTTTTTGAGTCAGTGTTCTCTAAATATGACTGCACATCAGATTCACTTGGAAAGTTGATGTAAAATAACGATGCTAAGCCCCATCCCAGACCATATCCATCAGGTTCTCTGGGGATAGGGCTTCAACATTGCTATTTTTGCTTTAAATAATTTCAGATTATTCTAATGCACAGCCAAGGTGGAGTACTATTTTAACTCCCAAGCTATTTTCTGATAGCGTCTTAGGCCTTTGAGGAGCTGCACTAACTCTTCCAGGCCTTCATGATTGCAGTTAGGATGTCGCAGCAGGATTGATGATCGGTCAGTATCAACAAATGTGACTGTTGATTTATATTTAAGATTTCAAAAATAAGTGAAGCACTTGGGAAGGGGAGGGGAAGGGAAATGGGGATGGGAAGGATGATAGAATAAAACAGACATTATTACCTTATGCACATAAATGACTGCATGACCGATGTGATTCTACAACATGTACAATCAGAAAAATGAAAAATTATACCCCAACTATGTATTATATACCAAAGTGCATAAATGTGTTCTACTGTCATGTATAGCTAAGTAAAACAAATTAAAAAATAAAAAAAATAAAAAAGTGATCAACCTGTGAATAGAGGAAGCTACTGGAAAGAGGGCAGTATGACTGAGACAAGTACAGTGATCAAGTTGGATTATGCAGCTCTAGTAACAATAATAATTACTGTAAAACATTTGTTTCAAAAATAATTTTCTTCTTAAAACTTTACCCATATCATTTTTGTCCCCCAGATAATTGTCTATAATCCAATCAAAGTGTTCAGTTTCTACCTGTCATAATCTGTATTTCATTTCACTTAGTAACAGGGAAAGAGGAAAATATGTTTTGTAAATTATCATTCTCTATATCAAGCTTTCTCAACTTTCATATGGGTTGAAGTATTAAAAAATTCATAATCACCAGTAGCCTCTGTTTGTTGCTTTTTCTACTTAAGGAAAATTTTATGAAAAGTAATTAAGCCCAAACTATCAGAAGCTCCTCACAAGAATTCTTTTCAGCAGGGACTTTTGATAGAGCCAGTCTGAAAATTAGACTCACTTTAATCAGGGTAATCTAAAATCAATTATACCCAACAGCATTGAACAAATGTCTCAAACTTTGTTGGCTTGTGAACTGAGAATTCTTGCAACATAGGTGCCACTCTAAATAAGTTGATATCAAAGTCCCCTCTTGGTAAGTATTTCCAGGACTGGTGGGTAATGTGTCCTGGATAAATGGTCATAATAATGCACCTCCGAGTGTCCAACTTGACGTGGGAAGAAAGACCTCAAGCTTTCAATGATTTTGATTTTCTTTTCTATGTGATTTCTACAATATGTACAGTCATCCTTTAGGTATCCAAAGGGATTGGTTCCAGGATCCCTTTTTCTTTCTGTGGTGGTGCTGGGGACTGAACCTGGGCCTTGTGAATGCTAGGCAAGCACTGTACCAACTGAGCTATGTCCCCAGCCCCTCAGGATCCCTCTTGATAACCAAAATCTTCAGATACTTGAATCTTTTATATAAAATTGCATAGTATTTGCATATAACCTATGTAATTATCTCATACACTTCAAATCATCTCTGGATTATTCATAATACCTAATGCAATGTAAATGCTAGGTAAATAGTTGTTATACTGTATTGTTTAGGCAATGAGCAAGAAAAAAGGCATACATGTTCAGTATAGACATAGTTTCTTTTTATTTTATTTTATTTTCTTAATTTACCTTTGTATTAGCACTTAAAACACATATTTTTCTTTCAAGATAACATTTAAAAATTATTCTAATACAACAGCAAAAATATAATTCTGCAATTATAAAAGAGCTAAAGTGGAACCAATAATTAAATTATTATGTTTATAAGTGTGATTCTGAAATAAATACTACTTCTATGCAGTTCTGTTGTGAGCTTTACAGGTATGGTTTAAACACACACACACTCTCCCTCCCTTCCTCTCTCTCTCTCAGTTGTGGGAAGATTTACAAGTTATATTTCATGCACGTTTGTGGAATGTGAAATAGTTCTTTAAGAGCCAACTAACACTAAAAAACTGAAGTTCTTAAACCAGTTCACAAGGCAGGTAGAAAAAAGTTAAATTAACTGGGTTAAGTAGGATTCCCACCCAACATTCAAAATATGTGTATGATATTCTGTAGTAAACTGGGAGTAATTCAGGCCTGGCCTTTTGTCTTCTTTAGAAGTAATTTCTGTCATAAGCATTTAAGAAGGTGAGTGTTGTAACACTATCCAGTATATGTTTCTTTTGTGTTAACTTGACTTCCCTGAATGATCCAGTCAATGAAGTCATTAATAATTTGATAACCAGGCAAATCAAGTGGGCAAGAAAAGAAGCCATTATTCAAAATACCGTGTTACAGCCTGAACCCACTCAAGGGATTTATTTTTTGACATGAACATATAACTTTAACATAACAAAAACAAGCACTTCCAACAAGACCAAGACAGCATCTCTTCTTCTAAGGTTTAGGTTTTGCCCAGAATTTCTTATACAGGGAATAGCCCATACCCAGAGTCATCGCTCCTACAACAAAGCCTTGGGCTGCCACACGCATGTGAATCAGGTGAATGGACATTTTAGTATTTCCCCTGTTCTTTAATTTGTATAATCCATATACAACAATTGCTGCAAAACCTGCCATTCCAATAGGCACAAATGGTGCTTCTTTAGCTTTTCGGATAAATTTAGATCCCTGATCTTCATCATATGAAGAAAGAGAAACATCTGTGTTGGTTGACATAGTGATTGCTTGAAGAAACTTCCGAAAGCGACAAAACCCTTCACCACCGGACCCGCTTGTGTACCCCCATAGTTTCTTTTTAAAAGTATTTTTGATTCATGGTTGGTTGAATCCATGGAGGAACTTGCAGATATGGAGAGCCATCTTTATCTTCAATATCAGTAATTCTATAATTGAAATGAAGATTTTATTTCAAAGTCTGCTGTTTAAGCATATTTAATGTCAATCTTGGATGGGCCCTTCAAATGTATTCTAACTGTAGATGGGGTGGCTTGGCCTGCCTCTACCAGTTTGTATATCCCAACTCACCCCATGTCCACTGCTCTCGTATACATTTTGAAGTGGTGAGGGAAGAGTTTTCATATAGCTTAGCATTTACACATCTTCCTAAAAACATCTTCATATCTTGCTCGCTTGGCCCAAAGTTTCCTGCTGAAGGTAACTGTTCCAACTCTCCCTCTTTGCCTCCTTTTCCATAGCACTCTCACCATTTTGCTGTCTTTTTCCTCTTCCTTTCCTTGTTCTCTGCAGTTGTAATGAACCACACTCCTGATAATTGTCCTTTTCTATCCCAAAGCTTCCTGGCAATCATGGTTTATCACTTGTTTTCCTTATATGAATCAGGCCCCCCCAAGCCCCTGGGAATTCTCCTGTACACAATTCTCTACCTCATTACTTTTCCCCTAGCAAAAAAATCCCTGTAGCACTCCACAGAGAGGAGATACATATATATAGCTTCCTGGGGTCTCTTTGCATTCCCAGACCAATACCCCCTCCCCCCTTTTTTTAGTTCTCTGAGGTGAGATATTCCTCAGTTTCATCTGGAAGGTATTACCAAGCTCTCTCTGGTTGTTCTAAGTGATTTTCCTGGGAGCCAACATATTTATATGAAATTTAACTTTCTCTTCCTTTAGGGGTTCGACTCCTATAATTAGGGTTAAAATCTTCAAGATGTAGGTTGTCACTCAAGGTCTTTCTGCCACAGCTGGAGCCAGCACATGGCTATCATTATCCCTACTGGGGTCTATCGAATGGCTGTTGATAGATAGCTGGGTACTAAAAGCTGTGGGCAGTGAGCCATACTGGAAGCAGATAAGTGAGTCCTGTTTCCAAGTGGAGCCCTATGTTGACTCAGGGAATAGGAAGATAACAATCACCTTGGCTGGGATGGATGCACTGATCTGTCCCTCCGAAGATATCTTTCCTCTCATAAGTCCAATTTTAATATGTTGAAGCATACTAGTGGCACTCAATCAACACTCCTTTACTCAATATCACTGTTTTTTTTTTTTTTTAATTCTATTTTTTTGGTGCTGGGATTGAACCGTGGGCTGCATGCATACTATGTACATCCCCAGCCCATCACTGTCATTTTTATTCCTTATCAGTCTAACCAACAGTGAGCATTTAGGAAGACCTCCAAAGCTCATAACTTTAGTCTCTTAATTCACTCTAAAAAATTTGGTGCAAAGGTGCCTGATTTTCCAAGTTTTTTATTATTCTTGGTGGTAGGCTCTTATTTGAACACATAGTGGGAGGAACATTTCTTTCTTATTGCTCCCAATTATGAGTTCAACCTACAAATCCAAACTGCTCTTCTTCCCATAATTTAATTTCCCCAAGGAAGTGGGATCATCAACCACCAATGTGGAGATTCTGATCACTTTGTGTCCATTAATAACCCTATTACTAGAACCTACAAACCAGAAGTCTCCACATGCAAACAAAATGGTTTGTTTGGACTGTATGTTGTTTTAAAATATAACAGTTTCATAGTCATTTTCCAGACTGTTGGTGTCTCTTAAAGAAATAGTACTGCCTGACACTACAACAGTCCTCCCAGGGAGTGACAGTTGGTCAACACAGAGCAGTAGTTTCCTTCTTTAGATGGATCCTCACTTTCCCCAACCAGCTGTCCTTACCACTCCGAGTTTTGGACATTGGACATCTGACCTGCTTCAGTCTTGTATGTTTCTTAATTGGAGGTTAGTGAGTTCTCTACTCATGGCATACTAATGTAGACTGAAGTATATTCATCTCCTGAGCATTCCATTTTCTTTTGTATGTTTTATATATCACTCAATGTCATTTTCTTCCATTTCTGACTTTTTAAAAAAATTTGTTTTGGTACTGGGGATTGAACTCAGGGCACTTGACCACTGAGCCCCATCCCCAGTCCTATTTTGTATTTTATTTAGAGACAGGGTCTCACTGAGTTGCTTATCACCTCACTTTTGCTAAGGCTGGTTTTGAACTTGTGATCCTCCTGCCTCAGCCTCCTGAGCCACTAGGGATTACAGATGTGCACCACTGTGCCCAGCCATTTCTGACATATTTTTGTAGAAGAGAGTTTGTATTGGTAGGTTCAGATCTGCTTAGTTATAAGTTTCCCAGTCAAAACAAGATGGAGGACATTTGGTGGCTCAAGATAAAGATTTGAAATATGCCTTAGTATATCTGCCATCAGTACTATCTCCCTCCCTCCTTGCTACATTTTTTGTCATGCAGTATTAATCAGAGGCTCACTGAATGCTTTCTTTGTGTCATACGTGTTCTGGCATAGGGTGATGAACAGACCAAGACAGACTTACAATCACAAATTTATGGTGAGGTGAGGGTGAGGCGAGAGAAAGACAATTAAGTAAGCATATTAAGAAATACTAGTAGCAAGGGACAGGAGCACAGGGTTTGTGGGTTATTCTAAGACTTTAGAATGCAGCTTAGCAGTCAGGAGAAGGTGTTAAGCTGTCAGCAGTTGTAAGTGTGTGTGTTTGACAGTGTTTATATGTATGTATGCGTGACATGATAAGATCTGCATTAAAAATTCATTTTTATTTTCGTTCTTTTTAGTTATGCATGACAATAGAATCTATTTTGATATATTTACACAAACATGGAATCAAAACTAGGACTGGAAACACGATTTGACCCAGTTATACCACTCCTCAGTATATATCCAAAGGAGTTAAAAAATCATTCTTGACAGCACATAGGAAATGGTTTCTAAAGGATCCAGGTGGTTGAAAGCAGACGGGTCATGAAATTAGTCTGCCACGTTGAGAAAGAATAGCAGTTTGGATGAGGGTGGAAGCAGTGACAATGAGGGGGGTGGAGATGAAATGGAGATTTAGCAAGAAAGTCAACGGCCTTTACAACGTGGGATGTAAGACACAGAGAGGGACCCAGGATGGTTCCAAGGCTTCTAAGAGGAAAAGGGCGGCCCCCAGTGCACTAGGGAGTCCTGCTCAGGTGTGAGGGGAAGATCGTCACGTCAGTTTCAGAGATGTTAAGTTTTAGGTACATTTCTGTTTTTCCTGTGCAGCGGGAGTGTAGGTGATGAGCCGGACCGGTTCATTTCATTTCAGTTGTGAAATGAAAACACAGAGCCTCTTGTTCAAGTATTATTAATAATTTCAATATGGCTACAGCAGAGTATCAAACCAAAGGATGGCCCTGGGTGACCGCACAGATTGCACACTCTTGAAGGTGTTATGACTCTGAATATGAATTTGAAGCTCAGAAGAGACGTCTGGGCTGGAAGTATGCTGCTGGGAGCCATCATGACTTTGACAGTTACTGAAGAAAATGTATAAAGAAATTTTAATGAGTGAGAAGAAAAGAAAGCCCAAAGAACTCTATAATCTTATAGCTGAAAAAGAGCCTCCTATGACTCTAACTTAAGAAATTGGAAGTCCATTTATGCTGAGTTAAAAACCAGTTGCAAGGAACTTACTTAAAGAAAAATTTAAAAACTTCCTCAATCTAGTGAACTCACATAATGGGGTGCAAACCCAATTTTCTGCCCGATACATGCAGTTTAAAGTGTGTAGTCTGCCCACAACATTAATTCTATGTCAGTGTAGACACCACAATATGGTACCATTTCAAATAAACAATGGCTTAAATATTAACTGTGCTTGCTCTTATTATCCAGGTCCTTCTGTAGGCTTGAAGCCCCTTGGTAGCTGGAGAAAGGGATGTGACTAATGAGTTCTCTTTTTTTCTGCTCTTACTAGTGAACCATTGATTACGGTTTCTGAACCCTAGGAGCTATATATACTAAGGAAGGGAGACGAGGTAAGATGGCAAAATAGCTCCTATAGAATGGTCTGTGTTGCAATTCATTTTGATACCTATTATCTATTATCTTAGAATATTGACTGAGACTTCCATTTAATCTCCCAGTAGTGAAGAACATAACCCCCATGTCTATAGGGGTTCTGTGAGGGCTATGTCTGGGAGTTTCTGATTAGGAACTGCTTGTTGGAACTTTAGTTACTGAATTGCTCAGTACTTAACTCATTCAAATAAGAGATACTACAGGATCAGGGAGATCCAATTTGTGTCAGCCTTGGGAAAAGCTCTATGGAGTATGGGTGAATGTTATCAGGTGAGAAGGCAGGGAGCAGGGGTCACGAGGTTGGTGCTGAGTGTGTTGGAAAGAACACTCAGCATATTCAAAGGTATGGGTCAGGGAACATAAGCTTTAGGGGACCCTCAGGCATTCAGTTCAGCTGCTCAGGGAAGTTCGAGAGAGAATGTGGTGGAAAAAGGGACTGGAGAGTGAAGCAGGATCTAATGGGTAGCAGAGTCAGGTGAATGTGTTAAGGAGCAATGGGGAGTCATTGAAAGTCTAGGGCAGAGATGTGTTATGAATAAAACCGAGTTATTTTCCATGACCCATTATGGAAAATAGATGGGAGGAACTAGGGAGAAAAGTGAGAAGGCTCTTTCAGTCATTTCTTTTGCATCAGTCTGCCTCCATAGTTGCATTTATTACAATGGTCAATTTTCCAACGTGGTAGTATTGTTTTTTTCTTTTTTAAAACTTCCAATGTCCTGTGTTACGTAATTTTCCCCTCACCTCCTCCTTCTCCTTCTCCAGAGAACAAAACAAGCATAAAGATTTCTCCAAAGGGTCCTTATAATGGAGATGGAACAAGATCCAAAATACAGAGGTTCTTTAATCCCTTTCTTGACATCCAAAGCCCCTAAGGACAGAAAGTGCCACTGATGATCTCTTGTTTGCACAATGTGATCTCTTCTTCCATCAGGAGCAG